GAATTAATAAGCTATCCTCCTGAGATTGTTGACTCTGACTCGGGATAGAATCGAGGATCGGAGTTATGAATTTGAAAAAATGAGGTAGACAAAGATTGTCAGGGTCAATGTCAAACTCAGGGAAATGCCGCGGACCTGGTTAACCCCGTTTGGAGTAGGGAAACGTTTAATCGAGAAAATATTTAATTATTTAACAAGTGGTTAACCCCGTTTTTCACCTAATTAAATTAAATTTAGTTTTTTGACATAAAATTTTCCTTTAAATTTTCCAGTGAGTGGAGATTCAGATGAGCTTTTCAAGCCAGAATATATCAATTTTAGAGCAATTCAACTTTTTGGAGGGAATGGAGGAGGAGGAGTAGGGAAACGTTTAATAGAGAAAATATTTAATTATTTAACAAGTCCAATTAATTGGATCGGAAAGAAAGCATTAAATAGTAAAAATAAAATATTTGGTCAAATTTATAAAAAAATAAATTTAATTATGGAAATAATTAATTCTTTTGTTTTGAGAAAAACTCTTTTAGAGAATTTGTTTATTCCTCTCTTTTATTATCAAAAAATTTATGGAAAAAATTTGACAGAAAAAATGGGGAATTTATTAAATAATTTCCGAAAAAACGATTTAAAAGAGGAAAAAACTTGGATTAAAATTAGAAAAGATTTTGGAAATTTATTTGAAGAAATCGAAATTTTTGTTAAAATTTTGAAGGAAGGAAATGATAATGAGGAAATGTTGAGTGAAATGAAAAAAGAAGGGAAAATTGTTGAGGAAAATAAAAATTATTTTTTAAAATTTTTTGAAGAAATTAATTTAAATGGAATGTTTTTTAAATCATTTAAAAATAATTTTGGAAAAGAAGAAAATGTTGTTGTTGATTGGTTAAAAATAAAAGAATGTTTTGGGGGAGAAGAAGAGGTAGAGGCTCGGGTACACTCCAACTTACCGCGAGCCCAACTCGTCGCAGAGCTATAACTTCGTTCAGAATTGTCGAATCCGGGGCACCCTGGTATAGTTCGATTCAGCTCGTCGAGACGCATCGAATCATACCAAGGCGTACCGGATTCGGCAATTCTGAACGAAGTTATAGCTCTGCGGTAAGTTGGGCTCGCGGTAAGTTGGCCTGCTCCCTAGAGGCTCATATAAGGGAACGAGCAGACATAAGAATGAAATTCCCAACTTCGGGAAATATGTAGGATCTCGACCCAAAAATCGTCAGGAATTCCCGATTTTCGGAAATCGTGAGGCTCGTTCCCTGGTTCATACTAGGTAGGACACAATCGGTTTTAACCGGTACTCTCTGTTTTCGGTTTTTGCCGGTTTACGACCTCCGGTTTTCAGGTCTTGATTGACCACCGTTTTGGTTAACCAAAACCTATTTTTGGCTAAATCTGTCATCCAGAACATCAAATTCATATTTTATCCTAGTAAAATGCTCTAAAGAAATATTTCATGCATCAGGGCCCGTACAATAAAATCAGGGTTATTTGTAAGGGTTAAATAACCCCCAACTCCGGGTAAATCCGCACAATATATTCGGCACAATAAATTATCATTTTTACTCCGAGTTGACCCCGAAATTTGGTAAATAAAGAAAGAGTTTGCAAAAGTTTAGCCACCGGGCAGGATTCGAACCTGCGACCACCTGCTAGTTGTTGCTAGGCTTTCGCTCACTATATGCAGGAGCTCTACCGTTGAGCTACCGGGGCATCGACTAATGCTTTCTCTTTTTCCTTTTTAGATCGTTTATCCCCCGCCTAAGCGTTTTAAATGCTGCTAGGTGAATCATCCTTACATCTCCATCCCTACATCAGACCGGTCCCTCGGTCAAGCGCCATGACCGTGGATCGGCTGGTTCACCCAGCAGCAAGTGGGGATCCCTGTTAGCGGCACCAGAAAGAGTTTGCAAAAGTTTAGCCACCGGGCAGGATTCGAACCTGCGACCACCTGCTAGTTGTTGCTAGGCTTTCGCTCACTATATGCAGGAGCTCTACCGTTGAGCTACCGGGGCATCGACTAATGCTTTCTCTTTTTCCTTTTTAGATCGTTTATCCCCCGCCTAAGCGTTTTAAATGCTGCTAGGTGAATCATCCTTACAATAACTAAATTTAATTTAAGAACACTTCAATTAATTCAATTCAATTAATCCGCAAAAAACGTTATCACAAACAAATTAGTGATTATAATATGGTTGACAAGGTGGCGTTCTTTATCATTGTATATCTTGGATTTGGCGGTTTGCTTGGTGTATTAGGATCAAGTTTTTTGGTTGCGTGGACTTTCGGTGAAATTAATTGCCCTGTGCCTGTTATTCATTTATCAGAAATTAATTTGCCTGAAATTCGTCTACCAGAATTTTTACGAAGAGAAAATCAAAATCCTCCTCCTCCACAGCACCAACCTATCATAAATCCTCATACTGGAAATGTTGTTAATGATCCAAATGAATTGTTAGAATTGGGATATCAATTTAGCGATCCAGTTCGATATGAAAATTATGTTTCCCATTATGGCCAACAGACTCGTTATCGCCGGGGGATAAAGGATAATCAGAAAGGTTGGTTTTTATTTTACTCAGTACACTTTGACAGATTTTAATTATTCCTTTTCACCTTTTCCTATCCTATTCTCGCTAAAAACTGCATTTGTCGGAGATTTAGCTTGTGACGACTAAAAGTCGACTAAAAATGAGAGCCGGGATTCAAAATCGAGATATTAGAAAATCGAGGGTACCGATAGCCAACAACCCTAATTTAATATTCCTTTTTTAAATAAAGAATGTCGCTTCAATGAATTTGCAAACAACGGAGATAGCTGTCCAAACATTTCTTTTTCAATTAGTTTCCATAAAGATGATAAAAAGAATTCAATCTTTTATTTAACAAAGAATGGATGTTTTGATAATTTAAAAAACGAAAATAAAATTCGAAAGAAGCGAGATATTGTTGAGTTTGTTTGGGTTGAATGTGGAGGTTTTATTGTAGGAGTTTGGTTTATTTTAGCGTTGATTGGGTGGATTGTTGGTGCAGTTTTTCTGGGAATTTACTTTTGGCATTGAGCTAGTAATGGTGAAAGCTCTGTCTCAGAGAAATTCTTTTAGTTTAGCAAATTACTTTGCTTAGTAGAACAAAATTTTTAAATCAAACATTATTCTGCAATTTTTTATAAAGTCAACTCTTTTTAGTAGCTAGTTAATGGTTAATAATCTCCTAAAATTATTGGAATTTTTTATCGTTAAAAATTTGAATTTTTTATCTATTGACACTAAAATAAAAAATTTTACCTGCGGAGGTGAAATTAACGGTTGTTTAATCTTAATTGCGTCACATAATGATCTTTAATTTTAACCCCCGCAAATACTAACAAAAATATCGTAATTCCATAAAATCGGGAATTTCCTATGTTTTTTGTGTTGGGAATTTCCAATTCCCAAAATTGGACATTTATTTTTTATGTGGGAAATGAAATTCTCTCATTCACTACTAAAAAGAGATGACTTCATTTGTCTTTACTTTTAAAAATTTCTTCCCTAACATTACAGTTACCGTAAATCTAATAGAACCACAATCTCTGAAAAAGCACACTCTTCAATATAACCACACCAAATGAGAGGATGAAACATTAAAGCACAAGTGGTTCTATTAGAAGATTTACGGTAGGAGTGCGAAAAATTTCAGCTCATACTAACACTCTATTATTAGTCAAAAACACTTGTACATATATTCAAGTATATTTTAAAGTATTAAAGTAAACACACCAAAAAATTACTATATTTTTAGCATTAAAAGTTTTAAATCTGAAAATTTCAAACCCCTAATCTATCTATCAATTTATTACAAATTATTTTTAAATTTTCATTTTTGAAGTCATAAAGTAGCTCAAGCTTTGTTAGTAGGGTTGTTCCCCGTCCCGAGTCGGGGAATTTGAAAGAAAAATCCTATTTGTTATCCGAAACTGATAGGCAGGTTCTAAATCAAGTTTGAACTACTCAATTAAAGTTATTCAAAGAATTTTTTACATTTGAAACAAAATCTTTGAATGACTTAATCTCCATTATTTCTAACTGTTTTGTAGTTTATTTATAAAAAAATTTTCGCATAAATTCTTTCGGTGAATTTTTTTTATTAATATTACTATTATTCAAGCTCATAAAATTTATTAATTCTTTTAATTTAAAGAATTGGTAGAGATTTAATTTAAATAAAAGATTAATTCTCTATTTCTTTAAATATATTTACAAAATATTAATTTTCAAAAAAAAAAAATTAAATTTTTCTAATAGTAAATCTCTCAAAAAATTAATGTACATTAACATAAAATTTACTATTTAAAAATATTCACTAAATTAGCCTGTAATCCAGCAATCATTCCAAAAAGGCCAATTAAAACCATAATTAAATCTTCAATTATTAATAATGTAGCTAATTTATATTCTCTCCTTTTAATTCTAATTGGTAGCCAAGTAAGTAGATCCAACAAAGAAGGGATTAAAAATGCTAATAACATTCCTTTGAAATTTAATTAATTGAAAAATGTGGTTATTTGTAGATTAATTTATATTTTGAAGAAGAAAAAAAGCGTAAACCCCTTTTGATGCTGTTTAATCAAATTAAATATTCCATTTTTATTATCCCGACAGTTATATTGATATTTATTGGAGAGGATTTGTGGGGTATTTTGTTTTTCAACAAATCAAAACAATAATTGTCGTTTAGTTTCGGATCACATTGCTCTCAACCGATCTTCAAAATCCTCTCTTACATTTAATATCCCGTCAGTTAATGGAAAATTATTTTTATAGATTCTTAAAATTAAGAAGATAAACACGCAAAACAATGCTCTCTAATTGTTTGTAATATTTATTAGAGAGGATTTTTAAGATCCGTTTAAATTTATATATATTTATTTACCTGTAGTAACACCAACAAGCGGAATAAGTTCTTCTAAATTAGGTACAGCAATACCAAAAATCACTTCAAAAAATATTTGTTAAAGATAAATATCTCAATTCCCCTCCTTACTTATAATAAACAACAAAAAAGTTCTTAAAGCCAATTCAAAAGGTAATTTTAAATTAACAGAAGAGCAAAATCCCCCTCTCCTTTCCAATCGTTTCCAAAGTGCAGGCCAAAGCATATCAACAATAACATACAATTGAATTACAAAACCAAGGTAAATAACAAGTGTTAAGGCTAATCGAAGTAGAGAAAATTGTCTTTAAAAAAAGAAGAATAATTTTTTGTATGATTAAATTTAAAAAATAATGAAGTCATTTAAATTAATTAAAAATATAGTAGGGTATTTTTTGTTATTGACGAAAGGGAGATAATTAAAGTTTCACCGGAAGTTCATGTTCCGGAAAGTTCTGGCGTTGGTTTTGGTTCCGATTACGGGAACCGAAACTCAAATTGGATCTGGCTTATGTTTACAAATCGGTTCCGGTGAAATGCTAGAAGTGATGTAAAATAGGCGATGTTATAAAGAACCATTAATTAAAGGTTAGACCGGGAAGGGACCCCGAACAAATATATCTATTGTCGAAATTGGTGTCCTTCCGAGCTGTCGATTCTCGTTCGACCCTTCCAGTTTGGGCTTAAATAAAATTCTCTTACTCTGTCCCAAAAATATAAATCCACCTATATTTTGTGGCTTAAGTCCGTAAGACGGATTTGAATGAATTGGTGATTCTGACTAAAAGTAGAAAAGTATTATAAAAAATTAATTTGGATATCCTCAAAAGAATAAATTTTTTGTTTATTTTTTCCATTCAAAAATCTTTTTAATTAAACTCACATATTATCTTGTGGCAAATTTAAAGTAATACTTCCACGTACATCATTACCAAATGCAGTAAAACCAAGAAAGCCACACAAAGCAAAAATTACCGAGACAGCAGCTATCCCTACTGACAAAATTCCAAAAGTTCCAACCATTTGGGAAGGCTTTTTTAATTTATTTTCTAAAGGAAGTACCTTTAAAAAATAATTTTTTGAGAGAATTTTCTTCAATTTTTTACCATTGCTTGCCCTTCAAATGCATAGAGAATAGATCCACACGCAGCCATAATTCCTTCAAAATCGGTAACTCGAGGTAATTTAATTGTTCGATCCTCTATTCTTATTAAATACTGTAAAAGGTTGTTAAATTAAATTGGGTTTAAAAAAATTATTTTTAAAAATATTCCTTTACAAATATCCCACTTATAAAATATGGGAGAAATTAAGAGTGGTTTTTTGTTTATTGTAAGATTTGCCAAGTCTTCTCCCAGTTTATTTTATACAGTAAAAGTAGAAACTACTCTAAATCATGGTGAGGGTATTTGAGAGGATATGTATAAACCTTGCTTCAAACCAGAGATGGGTAAAAAAATCAGAGGTGTCGGAAATCGGAACTGGCTCAAAAGTCGGAACTCGGAAATAGAAAATCAAAATTTTTTCGGAAATCGGAATTCCGACCCCCCCCCCCCCCCCTTTGCTTCAAACCTTTCAACCCTTCCAAACATTTAAATTTTCTAAGATTGGTTTTTTTTCGATTTACTTTAATAATTGATAAATCCTTATAAGATCACCAAATATTAAAAGATTATAATCAGACAGAAATATACTAAACTTCTTATAAAAATAAATATTTTTATAAAATTACCTGAAAAATAAAAGCTAAACAGATTAGACATACAACATTTCCAATCATGCTAATAACGGCTATTGGCTTTATAGAACGGACAAAATTAATAATTAAAAAAGGAAGAAAAATAATAAACATCCATTGAATTGTTGTTGGTTTAAAAGGAGAGGAAGGGAAAAATTCTTCATTGGACTAGAAAAATGATAAACTTTTTTAAAAAAAATTAAAAAACTTCTTTAAGGTGAATTGCACAAAAAACATAAAATACACTACAAATACCCATTTGAAGTGAAATTATTGAGGCATTTGTACAAATTCTGAAAAATATAGTAAAAATGTTAGGAAAACAAAAAATTTCTAAGAGGTGGTTTACCAGGGATGGGACAGGCTGAGAAATATCAGGTCGGGTTTCGGATGAGGTTTTCAACATTTCTTTTGATCAAGTTCTGGATTCGGATCGGAAGAAGTCCGGATTTTGGGAATCGGGTTAGGTAACCCGTAACACCTCTGTGGTGGACAGTCCCTCCATAACTTGGACAGTCCCTCCCCTCCACGACTGTTAAAGTTTGTAATTAAAATATTCACCTTGCTATTCTTGCATATTTTCTTACAGGACGGAAACTACCAGAAACTGCTTCATAAGCCATATTTCCATAACTTAGGAAAGAATCTCCTTTTCTAAATAATTTTACTATATTAATATTCCAATATTTGAATACCTTTTGCAAAGTATTTGAGCACATCTAACTAATTTATTCATACAAACACAATTTAGAAAACCAAGAAAAAATACCAAGAAAAGGGCTGTCTGGAAATTTTAAAGACAAATATTTAAAATTTAAAATAAAAGGTACCCAAAGCCCAGCTTGTTTAAAAGCTAATGGAAGGGATAAACAGCCTGGTCCAATCATTCCTTTGAGGAAATTAACAAGAATTGCTACATAACTTTAAAAATAATTTTTTTAATTTAATTTTAATTAATTATCGGCTATTTTTAAGGAATATTTTTTTCAATTTTTATCTAAACTAATTACTCAATAATAACCCAAAAATTAATTTAAATACTTAATTAATCTCATTATTTTTCCCCAAAATTATTGAAAATACATCCACGTACTGTAAAACTAAAAAATGAGTGACCTTGCCGTTTCCAGCCATAACCCAACAAATAATTAACCAAAAATTCTGAAATTTTTATAGTTGCTTGAAAACAAAAACTAGAGAGAACAAATATAAACCTTTAAAAGTTTGTAATTTTGGCTATTTTTAGAATCGAGTTCTTGCTAACCCAAATAATTACTAACCCAACAATTATATTAACTAATAGGTCCCCAAACAAGTATCGAACTTCCAAACCTCCATTCCCTTCCCTCCTCCTACAAAAAAAATTTTTATCAAATAAAAAAACTAACGAGTATCCATCTTTTCTTATATCTAAAGAATTTAAAGAAAAATTAGAAGATGATGAGGAAGAAATAGATGCCGCATAATTATTAATTGATGGTTGGGAAGCTTTTTTAAAATTATTCTTAGACCCTTCTTCAGATACAAAACCTTCATTTATATTGGAACAAATTGTGGAAATTTGAGGTTTTTTATTACTACTGTGGGTATATTTTAACATTTTTTTCAGAAATCTTTAATAAAAATTATTTTAAAAAAATTTGAGTTAAATAATTTAATTTAAAAATTATTTGAAAAAAAGATTAGAGTAATTAAAGGAATTATGTATTTAAATATAAATGTAAATATTTGAAAATTAAACTTTTCGAATTTTTTAATTCTTTTTTCGAATAAATAAGAATATTTTAACAATTTTTAATAACCTTTGGTTTTTAGAAAAAAAAATTTTTTGAGAATTAAAGTAACATATAAAACTATTTGTACTAGAGATCGGAATTTTGTTCCGTACCGTATTCCGTACCGTAATGCCGAAAAATACCGATACCGAAAAATACCGATGAAATTCAAAATGTTGCCGTACCGTATTCCGTACCGTATTACCGACTGTAATACCGATAAATACCGAGAAATACCGACAAATACCGATGTTTTTCATCGGTACCGTATTCCGTACCGTATTTTTTTTCAAAATTTTCCGTACCGTATTTCGTACCGTACTACCGATACGGAATACCGATAAATACCGAAAAATACGGCCGTAGTACGGTACGGTCCGATCTCTAATTTGTACCTTCGAAAAGAAATTTTTTTTTAATTTTTCTACAAACAAAAAAAATATAAATTGTCTTAAACATGTTAAAAATTGAAAGAAAAAATTTAAAAAATTATTTTAACCCCACTCCCCCCTCTCCATTTTTAAACAAAAAAGATTTTTGTTTAGCAAATCAATTTTAAAAATTGAAAGATAAACGGAAATGTTTGTTTAGGTTTTTCTTTTTTTACCACTTTAAATTTAACTTAAAAAATTGAAAGAAAGGAGGAAAAGAATTAAAATTAATTTTAATAAATTTATTTAAAAAAGAATTCTTTTTATCATTTTTCTTTTAAAAAATGAGAATAATTTTCAGTAATTTTTAAAAAATATATAGGTATTTATTTGTATAAACAATGAGGAGGAGGGGGGAGGGAGGGTTAGGGAGAGGTTACTGATAAATTAAGGAATTTAAGAAAAAATAAAATTATGCTAAAAATTTATAGAAAATAATTTTTAATTATTTTATCAATTTCTGCTTTTTTTTAAAAATTATTAAGAAGAATTGAAAATATTTCAATGAAATGTTGATGCAAAAAAAATATTTTAAGGGGAAAAGGTAAATAATGTAAAATAATTGGGAAAGATAAAAGTTTTTCTTTTAATTTTTAAATATTTATTGTTTATATGTAATTTTTAAAAAAATAAGATTAATTCATTAAAGAATTTTCGATAAGACATTTGCAATCGAAAATTTAAAATAAAAATTGGAATTCAAAAAAATTTTTAAAATTTTTGACATTATTTTGTATCGATATTTGTATTTTCTGTTTAAAATTTTCTCCTTTAAAAAAATAAACATGCTTAGAATTTTTGCGCTGGCATTGGGATCGCAAAAATTCAAAAGTCGTGTCGCTTTTAAAGAAAATTAATAAAATAAATTAATTTTAAAATATTATAATTTAATTTAAAATTAAAAAAAATATTTTTTAATAAAAATAAGGATGTAAAATATTTAAATAAAATATTTTCTAAATTAATGTTCAGAACAACACTGAAACTCTCCCGAATCAGTGTTTTGCTTTAAAAATTGTGTTCTTGTGTATCTCTTATCGGTTTGACTCTCATAGTAAATATAATTAAAAGAATTTTAATTTTACCAATAACTAATTAAAATAATTTTTATTTGAGTAATTTTAAAAGGTATATTTAATTTTTAAAAAATTGATAAAATTAATAAAAGTAATTTTAAAATTAAATAACAAATTTAGTTTGAATTTCTCTTTTTATATTTTTAGTAAGTAAATGTGTGATTTTTATTAAATATTTGTTTGTGTATTTGTTAAAAATAGAAATTCTTCTGATTTTAGAAAAAATGTGTTTAAAATATATTATGCATTTGGAGTGTGTTTTTGTGTTGCTAACAGGCTTATGACAAAATACAGAAAGATAGAAATTCTATTTTTATTTATTCAAAATATTTAGAGAAAATATTTATAAAAATAAATTCACCAATAAAAATAACAGAAATCATGTAAAAATTAAAAATGTAAAGCCAATATCCAATTATTTATTTTTAACATTTTTGGGAAGTTCCCATTTGGGAATTTTCCCATCCCACAAAAAAAAAAGAAAAAGAGTTAGTTATGTATGTTTCGATTTTGTCAAGAATTTGGGCCAATCAGAAGAAAATTCAAGATTTCTTGATACATTCGGAAAATATATACCTCACTTGTACAGCCATCATTATTGGTAAGGGAAGAAAATTTATTCACAATCGAGTTGTGTATTTAATTTAAATCTTCGTATTTTTAGAAAAAGATGATAAATAAACATTTATTTTTAGAAAATTATTGTCAGATGAAAAAGTATCAATTTTTGTTTGTTCAATGATATTAAAATGTTTTAAATAAAGTATCTGACAATTTAATAATTATCAGCTGAAATTTTTTAAATTTATCATTTCGTCATATGAGGATTTTGTCTCCAAATGATGAGGACTAAATTAGAGATAATTGTAGTAAAAAGGAGGGTCCGATGGTATCTACAATTATGGTTAAACTATAGCTAATATTAGAGATAGAAAAACGTCTAAAATTAAATACAAAGCCGAATTCGAAAATTATTAGATTTTACACAAAAGTTTGATCGGTCTTCGAAATATTCTAAATTATTCAATCGAAATATTGAATATACTATAGAGTAATACATATTTCCTTAATTAAATTATTAATTTTAAGTGTTTTGTCCCTTTTCTACAACCCCAAAAATCATCTTTTAGTTTTATTCTCTTCTAGTATATTTAAATATTTATAGGTATTTCATTTTCTTATCAAAACTCAAATCAAACATATTTTATTTAAATTTACCTTTCCGCTCTCATTGTAGACGAGCTTTTATTTCATTCCCAATGCTTATTTTAAACGACTTTTATAAATTTTTTAGTATCAAAATTGTTCTCAGTTGTTAAATTGAGAATTCAATAAAATCAGTTCTAGTAAATTCTCAGAATAAAAACTGGAAACTAGCAGTAAAATTATTGGATTTTCTGATATCCAACAGCTCTACTTCCTCTTTAATTTTTTGGGTACCAAAACTTAACTGAGGAACCGAATGATTAGAAGTAGTTAAACACCCCGCGAGGTCGTCAGGGGCAGCGAGGTCCATCCATTTAGCCCCTCCCCTTAATTAAACGGTATTTAAATTCAACCACACCGTCGTCAGAGTCCAAGGAGTTTCCAAAAGGTTTAAGGGGTAATTTGACCAAACCGGTTTAATTTTGAACTTTTTAAAGAAAAACAATCCTTCTCCCTATTTTTAACAAAATTTTATTTTAAAAAGGTTACAATGGTTCCCGAAGGTTTAAGAAGTAATTTTAAACCAGTTCAAAAGATGAACTTTTAATAATGGCTAAAGAAACACCCTTCCAACCCTCTTCTATATCCTTTAATCTTTATACATTTGTCCTTTTTTTGAAAAATAATAAATTTACTAAAAAGTAGGCGTTGAAAAGTGAAAATTTGTAGAAATCAGTCATGCAATAATTATGTTGCAAAAATAAATCAAAAAAATAGGTCATGCACGAGAAAAAAGTGAAAATTATATTGAAAAGTGAAAATAGATCATTGAAAATTGTTTCAAAAAATTATTAAAAAGTAGGCGTGGAAAAGTGAAATTAGAAAAATTTGTCAAATAAAAAATATATATAAAACTGAATTTTTAGGATTTTATTTCATTCTTTAAAATTAAAAAAATTATTTTACTAACCTTAAATGACTCCACCACCATCAAAGAGATCGCGTATGTTCATGATCAACAATCTGCTTGATCAACAGCTTGGCGGTGGTGATTTTTTTAAGCATTTGGGGGAAGAAACCAAGATCACCCGGAAATTTAACCTTACGAAACTATCTACTAAATTTTTAATACATGGATTGCCTGATGAACCAGAGGGGCTTTTAAAAGAAATTTTTCAGCGATGTATTGACCAAACTCTAGAAACTAGCCATGATCATCAACTTGATCCTGACCAACTTGGATGTACAGTGAGTAGTCAGTTATTGGAAACTGACATTTGGATCCCGATCAGGGACATCACCAACAACACAGTCGACGCTATATTAAATCAATTCCTAAAGGTGGCTCAATCAAAGAAGCAAGATAATGGCATACTTTGGGGTGAGCCATTTAATGTTTCAGTTACCTGTATTGACAAGAAAAATATTCAACATATACGTACTATCCGAGGCAGCGGCAAAGCTTCGACAATTCAACATAAAGTTAAAGACTGCAATCTTATTAAAATTAATAATTCTGACAACTACTGTTTATTTCATTCACTATCTGCTACTTTCGTATTTTCTACATGTGCTTGGCCAAAATGGAAATTTTACGACTACATTCATAGCAGAAGAGGCATGACACATCAACTCGAGAAAGATGCTATAGAACTTATGAATATAATTAATGCTCCTACTAATCAAACTACCTATGATGCAAATGATTGGGTGCCCAAAGTGGTGGACTACTGGAATTCTTTGAATAAAGGTGGCTTTAAAGTTTTTATTTTTGGAGAATTGACTGTTAAACCTATTTTTAAATACGGGGTCGAAAATTATAAAACACCAATTCTTCTTTATTTTTATAACAATCATTTTGATGGAGTTAGAAAGGCAGGTGATTTATTTGGTAAGCCTTATTGCCTTGCCTGTGAAACGCTTTACAATAAACCAAAGGATCATGCGATCTCATGTTCAGCAAAATGTCAAAACTGCTCTAGGATTGGCCCAGACTACCCTTGCCAACCTTTGAATAACTACTTAAAACTATGTAATGGGTGTTCTAAGGAATTCAGTAATGAAGAGTGCTACAACCATCACATCAAATCAAATTATTGCAACAATTCCAAAAAATGTGAAAAGTGTGGAGTGGTATGGAATGTCTATTTGAACAACAAAAACGGGCGTTCTGGACATGTGTGCTCGGAACGATACTGCAACACCTGCTTTAGCTACCACGACCCTAAAAGAGGCTGCTTCATCAAACCTCTTACTCTAAAGAAGTCAAAACCCTATCGGATCGTAGCTTTTGACTTTGAAACCATGCAGCACAACCAAGGAGAAAAGGGTAAACTACATGAAGTCAATTTCATTTCAGCAAAAATTATTTGCCCCGATTGTATTGCCAACCATCTGAATAACAACTGTACAATTTGTGGGGAGGATCGAACAATTACATTCTCCCATCAGCCATTCGCCAAAACTACAGTCGATCAACAAAACATCACCAATGATCCTCTGACTGAATTTGCAACCTGGATCACCAATTCTTCTATTGATACAGTAGCCTTCTCTCATTTTGGAGGAAGGTTTGATATGGTATTAGTCTTCAAAGCGTTATTTCTACAGGGCTTAACACCGGATATGATTAAGAAAGGAAACAAAATGTATGAAATGAAAGTGAAAAATTCTAATAAATGTTGGGTCATCTTCCGAGACACGTATAATCTAATGCCAATGCCTCTGGCATCTCTTGTACCAGCGTTTGGACTGCAAGTGGAAGATAAACCTTTCTTCCCCCACCTGGCCAACAATCCGAAAAATTATGGGAAAGAAATATACCCGACAAAAGACGACTATATTTGCAACGGAATGATGCCTGAGAAGCGGGCATTATTTGATAAATGGTTCGATTTGCACAAAAATGAACCTTTCAATCTGGATGAACAACTGGCAGCTTATTGCACCAATGATGTTGAAATACTTATGGCTGCACTTATTTCCTTCAGAAAAGAATTTTTGGAGATCTCAAACGGTCTAGATGTTCTACGTGAGTCCATGACTATTGCTTCAGCCTGCATGAAGCACTTCCGACTGAATCATCTCAATGCTCAACATGTTGGGATTGTACCGGAAAAGGGATACGACAACGTTGATAATCAAAGTTTATTGGCACTCCGGTTCCTTAAATGGTATGCAGATAAAAACAACGTTACAATCAGGACAGCACACTCAAAGAATGGGGAGAAGAAAATTGGTAATTATAAATTGGATGGTTGGATTAAAGAAAAGAAATTGGCTATCGAAGTGAATGGGTGCTGCTGGCATGGCTGTATCAAATGTTATCCGGAAGATGACATAAAACTTCCAACTGGTCTCACAGCAGGACAACAAAGAGCAAAGGATCAACAACGTCTGAACTTTATAAAAAATTTGGGAGTAAATTTTGAAGTCTATTGGGAGTGTGAAATAAGGAAAATGGTCTCCAAAGATTTTGAGATGAGAAGAATGTTTAAGAATTATTTGGATGATGGCCCGATCAACATTAGATCAGCATTTTATGGGGGTAGAACTGGTCCTCTAAAGCTTTTTCATTCTGCACAGCAAGGAGAAAAAATCTCCTACTACGACGTGACTTCCCTTTACCCGTTTATCAACGTCTCAACACGCTATCCTGTGGGACACCCAGAAGTCCACGTCATCAACCAAGATGTCAACTGGACAAAACCGGAAGACAACATTTACACCCTTTCACTTCTAAAACTATTCATCATCCCTCCTCGAAAAATCGATGTTCCTGTCCTACCTATGAAAATTGGGGAAGATGAAGATGAAAGACTGCTTTTTCCTCTATGCTCTACATGTGCAAAAGAACATTCACACGGGGATGTCAAAGAAAACTACTGTTGTCCGCATTCAGATCAACAGAGAGGATGGGTGTCTACATGTACATCTATCGAGCTGAACGAAGCCCTCAAAGAGGGTTATATTGTCACCAAACTCTTCAGAGTTCTGGAATTTAAAAACTACGACGACAACCTCTTCATCCCCTACATTAGTGAATTTATGTCCCAAAAAATCCATTCGTCTGGCTTCGACAACTCCATCAAAGGGGACAAGTTGAAAGAAGATAAGTTTATGAAGGAATGCATGGAAATGTTTGGAATAAAGATTGAGAGGGAGAAAATGGTGGCTAACAAGGGGAAGCGGACACAAGCAAAATTGTGTCTTAACAACTTATGGGGAAGATTCTCCCTAAGAAACTTTGGCCTCTCTCAATGCAAGATTACCGACGACCCAAATGAATTGGCAAAGATGTGCGACGACCCTTCCATTACCATTAATTCTATCGATGAACTTACAGAAGAAGTAATACTTATTAACTACACCAAAAAGAAGGATTGGGTGGAGGAGCATGACTCCTCAAATGTCATCATTTCGCTCTGGACTACCTCAGCAGCGAGGATTCACCTTCTGCATGCCATGCAGAAGGTTGTGAGGACACCTGGGTGTCAACTACTGTACACCGACACTGATTCTTTAATCTTCACACACCCCGTCAACAACTGTCCTCTTCAACTTGGACCTCATCTGGGGCAATTCACAGATGAGTTCTCCGATTTCAACATTCTTGAATATTGCTCTGGAGGGGCCAAGCAATATGGATTGAAACTTCAAAAGAACACTACTCCCAACAATGAACCTGACTACGTTCTCAAGGTCCGTGGGATGACGCTGAACTGGGATGTGATCAACAACCAAGGTCTCTGCTATGAAAACTTCAAGAAGCAAGTTTTTGATTTTATTAATTGTGATAATATTCCCCTTTTAATTTCATACCCTAATTTTCTTAGACCATCTATTAAAGATGGGTCCATAATTACTCAGTCTCGTACGAAAATTTATAAGCCTTATGTCGGAAAAGGCATTGTCCGCCCTTCTGATTTTATTGTTCTAAATTTCGGTCATATTAATAACAAACATCCTCGAATTATGCTGTGAATTCTACAAGAGTTGGAAAGTAGCCAGGGGTATGGGCGCCCAAACTCTATACCAACTATCGTAATGTTGTGAGGTAATCCTCGCATGTAAAATCGGTGGTAGTGGACTTGAGTAAATTCTCAAGTCCCTGGTTGAGTTTGGTGATGCCTGTCGAATGGCGAAGCCACACTCCTATCTTATATATTTTTTGTAAAAATTTTGTAAATATTTTTAAATATCTTTTTCACAATTTTAATACACTTTTTGTAAATAATTTTATTTGTGATAAAATTTTAAAATACAATTTTGAAAAAATTTATAAATAGGAGTTATAAGTTTTAGGGGTAAAAATACATAATTAGTAAAACAAAGATACAATTTTAAAATTATTAAAAAATTAAGAGAATGAAGACATAGCTTTTAGGGGTGATTTTACATAATTAGTGAAACAAATTAGTAGATTTCAGAATTAAGGAAAAGGAGTTGTTCATTTTAGGGGTAAAATTACAAAATTAAGAAAAAGAAGATGAAATTTATCAATTTTCATCAATTTATGTGTGTGTAAAGGGTGTGCGTGTGTAGAGTGCGCGTGAGTGTTGATGGTGTGTGTTCACCAACCATCTTGACTAAAATCTCCTCTGTACATCTCCATCTCTTCCTCAAATTCCTTATCCATAATTATTTCGGGGCTATCTGGTGGCGAAGAGATACTAAGCTTTTCCTCAAATTCAGATGATAAACTTTTATGTTGATCTTCGTCGTCAACAAATTCCAACAGTTCGATTGGATAAAATCTATCTTTATCCCATAATCGTCGTTCAATAACACAGTTTAGGTAAGGATTTTTAAGTTGAATTCGATGTCTTGTATAAAAATGTTGAGCGATGCTAACATTATAGGGACGTCTTAAAGGTCCATAGGCGCGAATTTTATTGGCACCCTTTCTTGTGAGTCCTCCAAATAGAAACGTCTTCTTTTCTAAATCTCTATTCAAATACGTTGTGCGGACCTTACGATCCAAAAATTTTGTTAATATACGGATTCTTGTCTCAGGAACATTTAGATGACAACTTAGACTTCGGACTGAACAGTCGAGAAAACGTGCAATTTCGTCTATGACAAGAACCATTGTGAATGTTTGAATGAAAAATGAAAATTTTAAAGTTTATATATCCATCTAAATAGGGCGTGGCCTAATTTTTATTTAGCTGCGACCTAATTTGATAAATTCCACATAAAAATAAAAATCATTGATGAGTGAAGAAAGTGACGAAATCATAAAGTATGTTAAGGGTGTGCGCGAGTATCGTGAATTTAAAATAAGAACCTATGTGCATTCAATCAATGATGCTCTAAAACAACACATTCAACTTGATATGGGAGCAAGGCTTTGCATCCTTATCAATTACTTTCGCGCAGGAAAATGGTGTGATGACTGCCTTAGCTTTGTCGTGAGCCAATTTCAAGATGATATAATGATACCCAAGGATGAAAAATCCTTTTCATACGCTTTTTATCTTTGTCCAGAATGTGCTGATATTACCAAAAACTATCTCGATAATTTATAATTTTATTCACAATATTTTTTACAAATAAATCTGGGTTATGAACAATGTTTAACATTTTAAGATATTGGGGAAATGTATAGCCTTTAGAAAGAAAATAAATAAGAGAAATACAATGGTGGGCACAATAATTAGAATTTAGG